AACACGCCGTCTAACAGACAGAGGCAGATGGCTATAAAATCTGGATAAAAAATGTCTAGTCTATGAAGAGCAGCAGAGTCTGCTTCATGGCTCCAGTGTAGACTATAACAGGCATTTAGTGTTTGAAGCCTGGATACTGAACGTCAGGCAGCTGGCAGTTCAGATGTCAATAACCAAGAAACACTCAACATTTGCCCATTTTTTACAAGCAGCAAAAGTATATTGGTTGATACATTTTTGGTCCAGGCTGTCAGATTAGATGGATTGCTATTAACATGTGTGCAAACAATCATGGTGATGTACAGTATCTTAACACTAAAATGATAATCAGTCTTTTCCTTTAGTGCAACCACAAGCTAGTCTCAACAACTTTTGTCATCCATACCAGAATATTTGGTACAGATATTCAATTTGATGGTTTATCTGGTTATACCTTCAAAACGATTGTATTTCCCACCACAACACTGAAAAATGTGTTATGCCTTTAACTGTGATCTGATAACCGATTACGAAGCTTTTTGTAATATATTTTTCAACTTTTACAGTAAGTGGTTGGCTGAAAGATTTGACAATTTGAACTACACAATAAATAACCAATAAAGATATACAGTATGTTAAGCTTACACAATTTACAAAGGCTGATCCGATAAAACTCGTGAAATAATAAAAGTTCAACGTTTATTTTCAACCCTTGGAGTATCGTCTGTGGTTCACTGAGTTACCTCTTATCTCCTGAATACGTCCGAGGTCATTCAACGAAGAAATCTCTGGTTCTGTTTCAATAGATCATCAATAGGTGAAATCAGCGTTATTATCTAAAGCCTCAGTGGTAAATGGGAATTAGGGTGAAGTGTTGAAGACCTTCTGGCCTGTAGTTTGAGTCTGATTATTTGATCCCTCTATTTTTATTATCACACACACACACACACACACACACACACACACACACACACACACACACACACAAAACATCTGATGATAAGAAATCATAATTACTGGCGCCGGCCATCACATCCTCTCTGGCGCTTAGCAGTTTTTTGTGAAATCTCTGTGCTGTGTGAATACCTGAAAATGAAAGCTGTTCATTTCAAGGTTCTGTAACATTACAGGCTTCAAACATTCAGCTTTTTATAGATAATTACATGTATTGAATCAAAGTTAATTAAACTATGAAGTTGCAACTACCACAGAGGTGAAAGTGCCGAAGGAAAGAGCTTGAACAACTAAAGATCAATGATTGAGATTGTCGTCTATATATTTAACTGAGAAAGACTTGCTCTCAGGATGTTAATAAACGTCTTGAACAACACACTCCAGATTAATCCCTGCAGTATGAGTCATGCTAGTGCCACAGCTGGGAGCAATATTCACAACTATAGTACAACAGGTGTATGCAGCCTTAGTTTGTTTTGCATTTTGCTCCTGTGTTAGCTAGATTGTGTTTTCCAAAGCTGCCTACACTAAAAGTAATTTGTGCATTAGGCTATTTGTAGCTAATTATAATCCCTGAACCATGCTCTGCCCCTGACTCAGCTGCTACTTGCCCACATAATGTACCAGCTTTCACTCTCACTGTGCCTCTGAAGCAGAGAGCCACACAGCACTCTCTCCCCCTCTTCTATCAGCACCATAGCTGCATGATTATACTGCTGGCATTAGTTTATAACGTGATACATACAATCAGTTGCCAATTAATAAGGAATGCATTTGGCCATAACAGGTCTGCAATACATTGAAAATAAAAAACTGGGTACATTTTAAAAATGAGATCTTAGCCAAGTCCCTACAGGAGTTTTCAACCTCAATATTACTGATTAACTAAATGACAGACAAATAAATGCAATTAAATGATTCTACCTGTTTGAGCATTTGTATTACTGTATTCTATTTTTAATTGTGCTGCTGTTAAGTTAAATTTTATTGTATTATGTTCTTCAACCTGCATAGTTTTAAATAATATACTGTAGACCTCCAATACGCTATTTTGATACAGATTATTGAAGGGACAATAACAACTATCCCTGCATTCCCTAAAAGGCTGAAGCAGCAACGATTCAATTAAATAAACAAAACATAAATAGGTAGATAAATATATAATATATATACATTAATATGAAATTAGCTATGGTGCAGAATCAGTTATTTTACTTTTGCTTCTTTAAATACAATTGGACTGCAGAGAAAGATGAATAACTTCTCTGACACCATGTTGGTCACTGGAGCAGAAACTACATTTTTGGACAACAGTGCATGAGCGGCTGATGGGATGTGCTCCTTATATACATATATCAAATTGAAGCGGTCATATAACATTTTGACGGACAATTATTTATAGCTGATATAGCGTCTATGTGGTTTCAGTAAAAATATTGTGGTACATATGCAGTGATTAATCCAGAAGTCCCCCTCAGTGACACTGTGTGCCTTTATTTCTTAAGTGTGGGTGAGCTAATTATAAGCTGTCGAACAAAGGCTGCTATTGAACATGCTAAAACAGCTTTAAATTGTTACATTCCTGCTGTTTCACACTGAAGACACATAATAAAAACCTTCCACAACGCCCACCTTTCACTCTATGCTTACCTCACCCTCCTCTCCCTCCATGTGTCTTCCAAATCTTTCTGTCTCTACTTGCTCTGTAATTACCTCTCTACTGGAGCCAGCTTATCTTCACCTTGGTGCTGTAGGGATCAGCCAAACGACAAACAAACAAGAATGAATTCAGAAAATGTACAAGTTAAGCACATTCTCTCACTTCTTTGTAAGGAGTAAAAGAACCAGATCTAATGTTGGCGTCTCAGGCCCCGTCCACACGGAGACGGAACGGGTGTTATCCACTATAGTTCTTTATCGTATGGATGGTTCGTCCACATGAGGCCGTAACAGAACCGCGGAAACGGAGCCCTTAAACAATAACGCATCCCAAAGTGGGAAGGTCTGGTAACGTAACGCTTCCGGCACCGTGTGTACGCCCTAAACCAGGGTTATTCAACTAAAATTCAACGAAGTCCAGTTAGAGAAAATGTCCCCATGCAAAGGTCCGGAACATCAAAATGTCTAAGTTGCTTTATGAATTAGTGTGATATATATTGAAGTAGCCTGCAGCTTTATCAACGTATGCATGTACAGTAATCAACAACTGACTGCCAATCAAATAAAGAAAGCACAATTCAAAAACAACGATATTTATTGTCAATTAACATTGAACTATTCAGATATACAGTAAATACTGTGGATATGTGTAATGTTCCTCTCGGGCTGCATTTAAAAATAAAATAGAGAAAATAAATAAATTAGCTTTTGAAAATATGTGCATCTTAAAAGTGCTTAATTTTAGATAAATAAAATAAAGTGTAGCAGCAGCTTGAGTTTCCCTTTTTCTTTGTTAACTTTTTCACATCATGACTTAACTGTTTCAGACGATTGTAGAACAATATCAGTCTTTACACATCATAGCAATTGAACAGTTTTAAAGTTTCTCTTTCTTTCCCTCTTATATTGCAGTCCCTCACTCACTTTTTTTTAATTCAGTGCGAGAATTGAGCTGGAGCTTGTCCTGCCAGGATTTTGTAAATCTGGCCTGAAATGGTGTCAGGGCCATTCTCATACACACATGCAGGTGCTCATTGGTTAGCCTGCCCTGGAACGATATCTAGTTTTAATTTTTATCCTGGTCGACTGATCATATTGGGCTCTGAGACTGCTTATTTTTTGTGACCTCAGTTCTGAGTTGAGAGGGAATGTTTGGTCCAACACTTTGTGTTTTGTGTCATAGTGGCGTTTTGGCACTTTTAATGTGCGCCACGGTCTCTGAACAAATGAGACACTGGCTCTGTGCTCCCAGTGGGCAGGATGAACATGAATGAGTCGGCGGCGGTTAAAATAGAATCGCCCCGTCAAAATTGAAATCTCCTATTAATGTATTGATTATAGGTCCGGGTCGTATAGGTCGGCNCAGACAAGCACACACTGAAATATTCACACAGTGTGTTTTGAATGTGTGTGTTTCTCACCTCGCTGTGTGTCTCAGACATCTCTTTCACAAACTGAGTCTGAGACTCAGTTTGTGAAAGAGATGTCTGAGACACACAGCGAGGTGAGAAACACACACATTCAAAACACACTGTGTGAATATTTCAGTGTGTGCTTGTCTGGAGAAGTCACTTTGTGCTTTGGGTTTGATTTGTTCTCGTTCTCAAACAGTACAGATTAATAATTCACCACAGGAGTCAGAACTGATGAACCATTTTTATGTGAACTTTTCAAAAACGCACAACATTAACATTTTATACTATTACATTGTAAGTACTAAGTAACATTTATTTTGTACTTCTATTTAAGTGTTACCTGAAACTGTTTCATCACAAATTGCCTGCAGGACATTAAAGTGTTACAATGTGAACATCATTTATTTCACAAATATCACAACTTAATGGTCTTAAAGTGAATTTCAATATAAATACTTAATCAGATTCTATGTCTGTATTTGTTAGAATAAGTATACATTTATTTCAAACTGTTTTATATTATCAGCAACAATTTTTATATATTATTAAAGGAATAGTTGACAGAAAAGGACACTTTTATAGTGCTCAATGGTCCCAGAAAAAAAGGTTTTCTATCAAATGAACTTAATGTGTCTTCAGTAAAAATGCATTAAAATCTGAACTAGTGACTGTACTTGAAGCAGCATAAAGAATATCTCCTTTCAACGTGCATGGGATGCTAAAGCAAGTTTAAGCCACGGGAATAGAGATCAAGCAAGCTAAAATAGACTAAAACAGGTTTTAAATACAAGAATAGAAGTAACAGTGCTGTAAGATAATAGAAGTAATGATTTGATTTAATAAAAGGCCCGACAGTTTAATATGACAAAAGGAAATGTTGTGTTGCTCACGTCCTCGCAGAGTGCCAGCAGCAGCAGTATTGTGTTTTCACTCTGAGCATAATATATTATATACAGAATAATAATATCTAATATTGTTGCTTTGTGTTCGCAGAGTAAATACAAGCAGGCGGGTAAGAAGGAGCTGGGGAACTCTCTGTACTCTGTGCTGCCAGAGACCAAGGACACTCAACACGCCAAAGAGCAGAGTCAGCTGCACAGCGAGGTGCCAACTAGCTTCTAAACCTTTTATCTTTATGCCTTGGATTCTGGTTTTCAGTCACACATTTGAATAGGAGACAAAGTATGAGATGAGTCATTCTACTTAAAAAACAGTCCTAGCATAGCCATCATCTGAGTATTCAATTGCACTGGCATTTATCATGTTAGATATTTCTCCCACTTTAAAAATGTGCAAAAAAAAACAAAAGTTATGAGATATCTTTTAAAGAAGTTTAATCTCTCCCATCTCAGCTGTTTGTGTATTAGAATTCTTTTTTATGGTGCATTATTCTTTTTTTCTATAGTTAAAAACATTACAAACACAATCCATGCTTAGTATTTACTTTACAGATAATTGGAAGTAACTTGACTGGAAAAGCAGAAACAGAGGGAGCAAAGGCCTATGGGAAATGTGGTCCTAATTTAAGCAACCCTAAACCCTCAGCATGAGATACGCACACATTTCTTATTATGAATGCATTGATTTAACGATCCTTCCCCTAAAAACGATTCCAATACCAATCTGCTGATGTGAGTATTAATCCAATACCAGTCCTTTTTTCTCACATGTGTTCCTGTGTTGCAGAAAGCGTACAGGGAGGAGGGGAAGAAGGACGCCGGCTGCAGTCTGTACTCTCAGATGCCTCAAACCATCGAGACGGTGTTCGCCAAAGAGATCGCCAAGACGCAGAGCGATGTGAGTCTGTGGTTTCGGGAATCCTTTATTGGTCCAACAGCGGGAAATTAACATCCTTAACAGAAAGGAAACAGTGCAGATGAATGGATAAAACACAAATAAGTAGGCCAACATTAAATAAAGAAGCAAATACAACAACGAAGTTAACTATAAATCGAGCACAAAATTATTTAATAGCTTTAAAGTGTGACTGTTATTGCAAAGTGAAAAGGATACAGGATTTTGTTTTAATCTTAAACTGTAAAAAAAACATTATTTTTTAAGATACTTATGTATGTCATTCAAATTGCATAATCCTACACCTGTTTCAAGTTGATATTGAAAGTAGATATCTTAAATGATCAGATCCTCTGTAAAGCTTTCTTTTAGCACTAACATTCAAAATAAAAAGGTCTGCTTTATCTGGGGACAGATTGCTATTATTACTATTGTTTGCATAAAATCACAGTAAGAAAAGAGCAGACTTTTTAAATGTGTGTATAAAAGAATAAACATTTTAAAACAAATGTCAGACATGCTGGATTATAATCTCTCTAAACTGTAGAGATTAAAGCTCAGAGAAGAGCAGCAGGGAAGGACAGACAATGATTCTTGAGTAAATGGGTCGTATTTAAACATCCCAAGATGCTCTCTGCTTAACACACTCACACAGAGGGAGGCACGGGTTAGTATCATTTTATGCGCTCAGGCGTTAACACAGAGCAGCTGTGAGTCTTCCACCGCCTGAGGACACAGACACTGACCTACCACACACACATCCAGGTTTTGCTTCGTAATCTGGGGCGGGCACATGTTTCACTAGATTAGTGTTAAAACTGACACCTCTAAATAAATCAAATGTCTCCTTCAACTCTAACATGAGAGTTATGAATCAGCTGTTTTAGGGGCCATTCAGAAAAAGGGCGAAAGTAAACGCATAAAGAAGTGAAGCAACTGCAGGAGTGTTAAATCAGGTGTGTGTGTGTGTGTGTGTGTGTGTGTGTGTGTGTGTGTGTGTGTGTGTGTGTGTGTGTGTGTGTGTGTGTGTGTGTGTGTGTGTGTGTGTGTCCAGTTAAGCTCCAAGAAGACAGGGGTTACGGACTGTACGTATGTTTTTAAGAGTTTGTTTTAAGTTTGTAATTAAGAATTATGGCAGAACATTTAATTGAAATGTTGATGAAATGGCAATATGGACAAGTGCAATATCCAAAAACTCCAGATTTAAAAAAAAAGTTTCTGGAATGGTTGTTTCCATTTTCTTAAGGTCTGAGTTGAGAAACAGTGAACTCATCCTTCAGAAGTGTGAAAGACTGTGGGTATGGACTTATGCATGAGCGTGTGTTCATAATAAAATATTTTAAAAACACTACTGTGTGTGTTGTACTTGCTCACTGACCAAATGCCCCCTGACCTGTGTGTGTGTGTGTGTCTAATATCTAACATTAATAACTGTATTAACTCTTTATATTTCTAATTTCCATGTCACTCACTAGTGTGTTTTGGGGTATTCCCTCCGACAGGCGAAGTACCACGAGGAATTTGAGCGTGCGCGGGGCCGAGGCTGCACGCCGGGATTGGACGAGCCCAGCATGGAGCGCTACCAGAGAGCCAATCAGATGATAGGAGAGGCGGCGTACGGCAAAGGGATGCACCCCCAGGGCATGGAGACGGACAGACGGCCGGGGGGCATCATCGTAGGTCAGTGACCCCGACTCTGATCCAACCCCCACCATTTTTTTGTAACCTATATTTGTTGAAATAATAGGCATCTTCAGCAACATCTCTGTCAATCAAACTTTTCTTTTTGCTTCTCTCCAGGTTACAGGATGTGTCGATCATACGACATTTTTTAACCTTTAACAGTTTTCAGGCAAGGTTATCAGATCCAGACTTGATAATCATCTTCTTTCTTAACAGCTCAAATAACTGTTTTTAGGTGAAGTGCATGCTTGCTCCAGGGGGACAGATCTCTGCACAGGAAACCATTGCATTATATATATGTGTCCCCATGTCGTATAATCGCAGTGAGTCTCCTCTCATGAGCTTTCCCTCCCCTCTAAGACCTGAAGGTGTGGAGGACAGACCCCGGCTCCATCTTTGACTTCGACCCTCTGGAGGACAACATCCAGTCCAAGAGCCTCCGCAGGATGTCTGGTACTCACCTGACTCCCCTCCAAAAAAATACATAATAACAGTGATTGGCGGCTGGAGAAAAACTCACTTTTAGCGCTTTTATTTGCAACCACAAAGGCATGAAACAGATCCTGTGCCACTTGTTTTAATTAACATTATTGTAAGCAACTCTGAAAACCCTGACCCATGAAAGACCAACACCTGCATCTAATATTTATTTAAGAGAGTGTGTGATTTAAAGTCAGGTGAAACTCTGCTTTGATTTGTCCTGCCGTCACAAATATTCATTTAAAACACCAAGTTTGGATTAATCCACTGCTGGAAATAGTCCCCAACAAATGCACTATTTCTTCCTGTTGGTTTAATAACAGTGAGCATGGAGGAGATGTTCTCCTATTTTGGAAATGAATGATAACATTTTTTATATAAAAAACAAAAAAATGACAAGCCTTATCCTTTAAAGTCATGAGCAACTATCCATGTTAAGAAATCATCCACATTTTTTCCTTGTCTCTAATTTTCATTTCTGTCTCCCCTCCTCTTTATTTCCTTTCTGTCCTCATTGTTTTCCTGTGCTGCCCCCTGCTGGTGTGTTTCTGTCAGAGCGGGCTGACCTGAGCAGGCAGCAGTCGGTCAGCTCGGTGACCTCTGACCTCTGGGACCGCAGCAGCACCAGCACTCCTGGTATCTTCCCTAATGTCCTCTTTCTCACTCAGACTCACACACAGCAGGGTGGAGGCGCAGACAGAGACCCTCGCATGTGTTTCACCGCTGTTTGAAGTCTCTAATCCCCCCAAAAAACTGACTAATTCACTGTTTTCTTACAGGTTTTGTTTTTTAAATCACAAACAATCACTTCAACTTCTTATTCTTTTCATTTTGTTTTCCCAATATTTTTATTACATTTCACATTATTTAACTTTATTTTATTTTATTCTAGAATGGACCAACTGTCACGAACCCAACTTCCCTTATAAAGTTTTCTTATTCTAACCATTTGAAGCATTTTGTTCCCACGTTGTTTGATTTCTAATCCAGGAATGTAAAACGGACTAATTCACCTCCTTCTAACAGGTTGTGTTGTTTGAATCACATACTTTCCCTAACATTCTCAGTGTGCACAGAAGAGGAGGCTCTTGGTTTTATCAGACAGATGCATGAGAAGGCAAACTGACTTACTCTCTCTCTCCATCTGTGTGTGTGTGTGTGTGTGTGTGTGTGTGTGTGTGTGTGTAGCTCCAGTCCTTCCTGGAGCTTACCATCAGCAGCAGCAGCACCACCTGCAGCAGCAACAGCAGCAGCAACAGCAGCAGCAGCAGTTTCACGGCTACATGCATCAGACCAGCATGTCCTCCGTCAGATCCGTCACCTCCCCCCCGCAGTCAGCCACAATGGTACGTTCCATTTCAGGTAGCCCTCTCTGCAGGAATATTGAGTAAACAACGATATACATTTTTGGGGATTTAATGACTACATTGCATTCTTTTTGAATGGGGCATTTTCTTATTTTAGTTTTGATTTGTGATTTAATTTGAGCTGTCTCTTCTTCTCCTGCAGCGTGTCTACCGGGCGCTTTACGACTACGCGGCTCAGGACCATGACGAGGTTTCCTTCAGGGACGGAGACATGATCGTGAACGCTCAGCACATCGACGAGGGCTGGATGTACGGCACTGTGCAGCGCACTGGCAAGTCTGGCATGCTGCCTGCCAACTACGTGGAGTTCTGCTCCTAAAAAACATGGAGAACAACTAAACCCCCCCCTCACTGCGGTAACATCAGCAGTCTGGGATGTTCTCTCGTTGCAGAGACTGTGTTTAAACTACAAAGTTACATCACATACAGACGTTTAAGTGGATTTTAAAAGCTGGAATTATTTGCAGTTAATATCAAGCTTAAGCAATCATACATGAGGAAATCAATTGCAGACAACAAATTAGGAAGTATTTTCAACGTTTTTAGTCAGTTTCTACATCCATAAGAGCAGGAAATAGACCAGAATGCAATGCAGCAACAAGTAGTGGTGAATTTTAATAAAGTGCATTTACTCTACTGTTGGGTATTTTCATTTTATGCTACTTATACTTTTGCTCCTCTACACTTTAGATGCCAACATTGTGCTTTTTACTCCCCTACATGTATCTGGCAGCTTTAGTTACTTTACATAATCAGATTACTAGCTAATACAAAACGTATGTATGAAACTTAAACAGTTAATATCGCAGAACATCACAGACTTCTGGTCTCCCCTGGAAATGTTCCTGTGAAGGAGGGAAAGGAAAATGATGGACAAAGAGAGAAAGTGCAACTTCATGGTCATGTGTACTAGAAATACAAACGCCTGTGGTTTGGCATAGAAAGAGAGAAGAAGAAAATATTTAAATCTATCAGTCAACAGTCGATGTCAAATATTACTAGCGAAGGACGTACTGTAAGAGCGGATCGATGCATGAGGAAAGAAAATATGAAGGATTGGAAGCATCTATAACTTTTCTAATGACTTGAAACAAACTATATCAGACTTTTGACTCAGATTTAAGGATGCCAGAGAAATTAAGATGAGAGTAGTACACACAGGAAGGAAGCAGGGAGCAAACAGGGGATACTAACATTCACATAAGTTACCAAGTGTCTATTGAGCAGTCCCCCCAAAAAGCACTATCCTCCTCTTTTAAAAATAAAAAATACATAAACAATATGTATTGAATTAAAGAATGAAGGATTTAGAGCCAGATATTAAGTCTTAAAGTATTTAGAAACTGAGTAACACATCGATTCGTTTGTTTTAATTGGGTTTTATACAATAAACATATATTACTTTTATACACCAGATTTCTATTTTAAGGATGCCTGAGAAATGAAGAGAAAGAGTCAAAGTAAAGATAAAAAGAAACAAATTAAGATGGGACATTTATTTTTAAGAGATCAGTGTGAGAATAGGGGGGAAAGAGGTATTCATAAAGGCGAAATAGAAAGTGACATTCTTTTTTTTGGGAATGATGCAACCAAAGGAAGGAGGGATGATTGGAGGTCGACGTTAGAAAATAGGTTTGGATTAGGTTTAGATTTCTCAAGTTTAATCTTTAATTATTTATCCTGATTTTGAATTCTTGTTCAGGTGTAGTGTTTTAGTTTTTGAGTTATTTTGACTGATATAATTAGAAGGCACAGCTTCAACACTAACCTCTGTGTTTGTACTGGACTCAACTAACACACTGTGTCTATATTTTAGTTTTTTTTAATTATAAATACAAGTTTTCACGTGTTAATTTAACACACAGTAACAGTTTACGTGGACTTTAATCTGAACAGACGATGTGTGTTCGTCTTGAGATTTCTGTATTAGACTATTTTGATACACGGTCTCTGTTTATGTTTTGGAAAGATATATATTCTATTTTACCTGTTTGTATCCAGTATGTCGTGTTTTTAGGGTTTGTTGTGTGGATTGCATCCTGGAATAAAACGTCACGCTGCCATTGTTTATCATTCTAGCTGGAGAGTATTTTTTACATTATTTAATAAAAACTAAATGCAATAGTTTATTATTTACTGAGTATTCATATGATTTTTGGAAGAGGCATTTTGTTAAATTCAACAATGTAATTTTTTTTTGATTTAGTCTGTCATCACAAGTTATACTACGTTTATTTACATATTATTTGAAAATATATATCATTCAATATCAGTTGTGTTTTTTTTGCCATAATGATAATTGCAGTGTGTTTCATGTGGTAGAAATAAAAATGTGTCAAAAGAAGTGTGGTTATTTATTCAGAATCATACTGTTAATCAGAAGGTATACATTTATTAATATATTGCATATTAAACCTCATATACATTCATATATATATTCAGATTTTAACGCTTGAATTTATTGGAGAAATTGAATCAATTAATTCATTATTAAGATTTAAGATTCAAGCCAGAAAAAGAATAACAATGAAATTCATATTTTATAAAAGAAAATCCGGTGTTGTGTCAAAATCTGTTTCCCCCACAATTTGTGATCACCTTAACTTAGTCTTAACCTGACCTTAACCTCAACCTTTGCTCTAGAAAATGCTCTTCTAGAATGATTAAATGTACCCTTAAATATAAAGAAACAGTGGATTACATGGATTAAACGTGTGTTTTTTTTTACCACAATGTTGGGGAAATTAATGGATAAAATGCACGGATTATTATTATTATTATTCCCACTCCGATCGGGACACTAGGTCCACCATTTCCCCGCAGCGAGGCTCCCCCCGTTGACAGTTTACGTGGGCTGGGCTGGGTGCAGTGGCGGACTGGCCATCGGGACGAATCCCGATGGGCCGGTACCGAAGTGGGCCGGTCGGATAAGTCACTAGCACATCCCCCACTCCCCCCGTTGACAATTTACTAGTGGTACCGAAGTGGGCCGGTCGAGAGTCCCGGGCTGATTTTTAGTCCCAGTCCACCACTGGCTACATGACCGTATGATCGCCCATATTGACGCACCTAATTCCTAAACTTCTAACAGATACAAAATAAACCGATCCTTCAGGTGTAAGTTTACCCTTACGGAGGGGAATCGCCGAATCAATCGAATCTGATTATGATAGGCCACATTGCAGGTTCGAGTAAGTTGGAAAACGGCAAGCCTGGTCAGACATTCTTCGCGCCTATATTTCTAATGGAACTACTCCCTCGCGACCTTGCGATAGTAGCGGTCCGGGCGTCGTCAAACCCATTTCTTACCGTAGGTAAGACGCTCCACCTTTAGTCACGCAAAGGGTACTCAACAGAGACCAGTCTACTGGACCGACATGCTGACACTCCGCTCGGAGGATTGATACTGCTTTCGCGTTATCTCGCCCACGGAATCACAACACACCCTAACCCGCAGGGAGAAATGTATCCCGGGCGTCGCTACGTGAGGTTTTCATTCATGACGAAGTGCACTTTTATTGAGGTAATGTTCGTTTGACATCTGATGAATTTAATAGATTTCATATAATAACTAACAATCTTATAAACTAAGATAAAACTTTTAGTAATGAAAACTAGGCGAAGAGGTAACAACTCCTTAAAAAATCCTGAATTATTGAATTTCTCGACCGTGCTCAAAGCGGGGTAGTCGGTTTTGGTAGTAAACCGATTTATAAAGGGGAACTTTGTCAAGATTGACTAAACCTATAAAAATCGAAGCCTCTATTGACATGAGACGGGAGCTTAAACCTGGTTATAAAATCTAGAAAGCCCCAAGAAGGCTTAGGGCGGTTTAACACACTGCAGTAACGCCCTGTCGCGAGGTCGACGGGCAAGTCCTAGGGTAGTAGACGGTACATTGCGGCCTACCCCGGTGGCCGTCGTTGAGTACGCTCCTGTCAATTTAAACTTGCACAGACCCGA